GTTAACATATACTATATTATTAGTTTCAGAGGTAGAATTTAGTGATTCATCAGTTGCATATAACACCCAGTGCTCATTACATCGTATGCCCTCCTTCATGCCCAGCACCCAGTTACCCCATCCCCTGACCCACCTCCCCTCCAGCAGCCCTGTTTGTTGCCTATGATTAAGAGTCTCTTATGGCTTGTCTCCCTCTCTGGTTTCATCTTATTTTATTTTTCCCTCCCTTCCCCTATGTTCATGTTATGTTTCTTAAATTCCACATATGAGTGAAATCATATGATAATTGTCTTTCTCTAACTGAATTATTTCGCTTAGCATAATACCCTGTAGCTCCATCCACGTCGTTGCAAATGACAAGATTTCATTCTTTGTGATGGCTGAGTAATATTCCATTACACACACACACACACACACACACACGCACATCTTCTTTATCCATTCATCTGTCAGTGGACATCTGGGCTCTTTCCAAAGTTTGGCTATTGTGGACATTGCTGCTATACACATGGGTGTGCATGTGGGGTTCTTTGTCTTTAATGGTCTCTGTGCACAGAGAATGGCAGACAGAGTACAATGTGGGAAGTCTAACGGGAGCCTCTCCACTTAATCTGGGACTTCAAGAAACCACATCTTCCTCTTAGGATTAACTAACCACACTCAATCAACACCATCCCCACTAAGGGGACTGCACAGAGAACTCCTGCCTCAAACCTCGGTGTGGCTTTGCAGCCCTTCTTCACCTTGGATCACATGGATGATCCAAGCACCTCACACAAATAATTTATTTTAAAATGGTGCCAGGTTGGTATTGCATTCCAGTGCCTAGCAGAAACAAAGGTAAATTTTAATCCGGAAGAACAGAGCTTTATTATTGCTGTCAAAGAATTCATATTAATAAGGATCCAAGGAAAAGTGACCAGAAAACATACTCCCATGAATAAGAGCCAGCAAAGTCAAACAGAAAGCAGAAACAGACTCTCAAAGGATTTAGAAATGATAATGATTAGATTCCAAATATGGATTAAGTATGTCTAATGTATTATAAAGAGATAAAAGAAGTGATGGAAATCTAAGTAAGAAGCAAAAGGCCATGTAATGACCAAGCAAATCTGAAAAAAGCACCGGATACTAGAAATGAACAATATAATAATAAAAATAAAACTTTAAGGGATTTAATAGGAGATTTGGTACTTAACGGCAGATTTGAACAAATTATTTAGCTGTAGCATGGAGAGAGAGAGAGGAAAAGAGGGAAGAAGGTTAAGAAGGATGGAGCTCTGGGCCAGAAGGGCTATCGTACTCCTTGTCAGAGTTCCAGAGGAGATGAAGGAAGAGCGACATAGCCAAAGCAATTTAAAATTTAAAGTTTAAGATGACACACCGATACAGGCATTTGTGTCCTGGCAAACTGATGAGGAAAGGATGAACGTTTTATTTTTTATTTCTTTTAAAGAGTTTTTATTTATTTCAGAGAGAGAACATGAGAAGGGGTGAGTGGCAGAGGGAGAGGGAGAAGCAGACTCCCCACTGAGCAGGGAGCCCAACATGGGACTCAGTCCCAGGACCCCGGGATCATGACCTGAGCCAAAGGAAGACACTTAACCGACTGAGCCACCCAGGTGCCCCAAGGATGAACATTTTAATAAATGGCACTGGGACAATAGTTTTCTTTATGGGAAAGAAAATGGACCCTTATATCATGAACAGACCCTCGGTAGACCAATAACACAAATGTGAAAGGCCAAAGTATATAACTTTAAGTAAAATGATATAATCAAATATCCTTACAAGCCTGGGGTAGAAAGGGATTTGATAAACAAGGCACAAAAAGTGCAAAACTTTTGCACTTTATAGGAGAAAATGGATAAATTATATTTCGCTTAAATTAAGAACACCAATTTATCAATAATGCCATAAGGAAAGTGAAAAAACAAGCCATAAACGGTGAAAATATCTAACATATCATTAATAAAGCTCTTGATCATATATGTGCATAATGTACAGATACCCACACATGTACATAGACACCTATAACTAATGAAAGACAAACAAGCATCCCAACGGAGAAAAGGGTAAATGATTTCACGAAGAAAACTAAAAGTGGACAAAGATGCTCAACTCCGTTAGTGATGAAGGAAATGCAAATTAGAATAAAACTGAAATATTTTATACGGCAAATTAGCCAAAATAAAAAATTACCTGACGCTATCACATGGTGAGGTGAGGATGTGGAGCAACACGACATTTACCTGCTGTGGGTGGGATTATAAACTAGTAGAATCGGTTTAGAAATCTTATTTTTCCAAAGTGTTTCCTAAAGGGCGCCTGGGTGGCTCAGTTGGTTAAGCGACTGCCTTCGGCTCAGGTCATGATCCTGGAGTCCCTGGATCGAGTCCCGCATCAGGCTCCGTGCTCGGCAGGGAGTCTGCTTCTCCCTGTGACCCTCCCCCCCTCTCATGTGCTTTCTCTCTCTCATTCTCTCTCTCTCTCAAATAAATAAAATCTTAAAAAAAAAAGTGTTTCCTAGTAAATTGAACATTCCCCATTCCCAGTAATTGCATTTGTGATAGATTTGTGCATTTTCTGGAAAAGTCCATTTGTTTCCTAGTAAAGTTGAACACGTGGTACAGTTGAACATTTGCATTCTTAGCAATTCCATTTCTAAGTGTATGTTAGGTCTATGTTCCACAGAATCCTTGCACCTATGTACCAGGAGACATTCCCAAGAATGTCCATAGCAGTGTAATGCTAAAAAAAAAAAAAAAAAAAAAAAAAAAAAAAACCCCAAAAAACCAAAAAAAAAAATGAAAAAGAAAATTTTGCATGTCCACATAATGGAACATTATTCTGTGAAAATGGATGCTACAGCTGTAAAACAGCACAGATAAGTCTCAGGAAGATAATGTGGAATGGAGGGAAAAAGGGAAAAAGCAAGTTGCAAAAGGATACATATGCTGTGATTTCCTATCTACGAAGTTCAAAAACATAAAGCTAAACGGTATGGAAGTTGTGGATGTAAGCATCGTAAGGCCGAAGAGAAGAGAGGGCATGATAAACACATCATTCAGGACAGTGATGATCCCTGAAGGAAGAGGGAAAAGAATGGGACCCAGCAGTGGTCCACAGGGAATTTCTATGCTAACGGCAAGGCTTTTTTTCTTATACTGGGTGATAGCCACACAGCTAGTCACTGAATTGGGTTTTTTTGTTTTAATACCCTACATACATTTAAAAGATGTGTATTTGCATTGACTCCATATTTAATAAAACTATTTTTAAAAAGCATGGTACCTAGTGTTATTCAATGTAGGGAACAACACCCCAAGGTGCCCCAGAGTCTTGGGCTTTCACTGATGCTATGGCAGGGTGAGCATGGAATGCACCTGAGCTTGACAATGAGAAGGTGTGCAGGTGTGCCCTATAGGTTCTATTTAACAGCACAAGAAGGGAAAAACGCATATTTTTTGAAGATGGTTATGACAGAGGTCAATATTTTTTTTTAAATTATTCTCTTCAATCTTTTATTTCATTAATATCTCTATGTGTACATTAAACAATCATAGTTTCCACGAGGTAACAAGAAAGAAGAGAATAAAAATAATTCTAACATGCAATGTAATGTAGCATTTAATTGGAGAGGTGAGTCAGACAAATCTGAAATGGAAACAAAATGATAACTTAGAGATTAAAAAGTAAAATAAAAGTACCAAGTGAATTTAAAGTGGATGTGTATAAAATCAATCAGAGAACTGATCATCCGGGCATGCATATGTACTCCTAAAGAAGATAGGAGAATCCCAATAGTTAATACTGCATAGTAATTTTACAATGATGCACAAACCTAGAAGGACCCCAGTCGATCTCATGATAAATCGACAGAGGTCAATATTAAATTCATTAGATTTGAAAGGCCTAACCTTTAGTTTTCTGAGAAATTTAGAAATATGGAGCATTTTATTCCTCCTTGCTAATGAATAAATGAGACAACTATAAACCGGTATTTAATTGCAAGTGTAGTCCCTGGAAATGCCATCGTAACAGGCTGCTTTCGCTGCTTATGTTTCAGAGATGGTATCGGGTGTCAGAGGAAATAAATTTTGATTTTTGCCCTCACAAGTTTTTCTTCCTTCTTGCTGTCCTGCAGATCCCTCAGCTTCACCTCATCAAGTGCTGCATCCCCTTGGCTTTTCTGGTGGGGAGTCCAGCTCTTGTTTTGTATGTGCAGTGCTGGCCCTGGTGTGCATTCAGTGTCTGGTTTTGAGTTTGCATGACTGTTAGATGTCCAAGGGGTGTTTTCTTACAGGCAGGAGGATGCCACGGACTGCGTCTGCTTATATTCCCGTGCCCAACCTTGTGCCAGGCTCCTAAGGGTTACTCATTATGAATGTTAGACAAATCCATGAAGACTATTTATTTTTTTCAAAATTAAATTCTTCCCCACAAGATTAGAGCCATCCGGAGATGAATTTGGGGCTAATACATTTTAAACCTGGAATTAAATTTTCCCGTTTGTTTCCCATTTGTTTTATTGGTTTAGATTTTTTTCTACAGATAGCTCAGTGTTTCTTATATCAGGCCTCACCAACGATCTACAAAATTGGCAATGAAAATGTTTTTACTCTTGGTAAAATTCAAATATTTATTTCAACATTACATTAAATAACATACCTTTCAAAAATTAAGCCGTTTCAGATCTTTTGTTGAATTCTGATCTTTTATGAGAATTCACGGCAGTTTTTGGCCTTAATTAGCAGCAGTGTTTTGATAGGAGTAAATTTAATGGTACATTATAATGGAATTGAAGTGTGTTGGTAAGAAAGACTCTTTTTGTTCATCATTATCTTTCTCTGAGAGTACCCATTTTTATGAAATATGTTGGTTTACGTTTCAGAATTGGAACATCTGCTTTTTGTACTTTTGTTATTAGGAGGTATATTTATGATAATAACATGTCAGTATGAAACCCTTTCTCTGTTGTTTCTTTTGGTACCTAAAAGCATCTGAGTCAGGATCTGGAAGACTCGTCATGTTCTTCAACACAAGGAAAATTTAACCGAGAGCAGTTTTACAAGTTTATCATTTTCCCTGGCAAGTGGATTAAAGTGTGGTACGATCGACTTACCTTGTTGGCGTTACTTGATCGGTAAGCTGCCGAGCACACAAATGCATGGATGAAAGACACAATGGGGGCATAAGAGTGCACTCGCATGCTTGTAAAAAGAAATTGCCACTTGCTCATGTTCTCTGGAACATTTTCAAGACGTATACCTTTTGTGCTGCAAACCCAAAGGCGAAGCGGTGAGATCCTGAAAACTGGAGACAGTGGGAGATATGAGAATTGGGGAACATGGTATAGACTCAAGGTTAGCCCTGGGGACGGGGTCATGCATTGGTCTCCTCGTGGCTTCCCACGTTTTTGTAGGAAGGCTTGAGGTTCCATGGGTAGCACAGAGCCTGGCCGACTGGACGTGGGCGGGGGGCGGGGCGGTGAGGGGGGGACAAGGGCAAATGAAGAGATCCACCAGTTGGAATGTTAGTCTTTCCTTTTAAACCCTTTTACTATTTCTCGCCTCTTCTTTCCATTGATCCATTGTGGGGTTGGAGAAGTAGTCAGTGGACGGGGAGGGAGATGGGAGAGGGTCCAGTTAGTTAAGGCATGGTGGAGGTGGGGGCCAGGTCAGAGTCTTCCCATTTCCACCTCTGCCCCCACCCCCCACCCCCATCTCACAGTCTACAAAGGACAGGATTTTGATCTTCAGGGGCCATGCAGTTCTGATGGGAGTGTTGGTTTGAAAATCCAAGATACCTTTACTGACCCCGTCATCAGCCAATGCAGAGTTTCACGGTTAAATGCCAGCCAGTGGGGGCAGTGGGAAGGCTGATTCCCTGCCTTGCTGTAGTAGGTCCCCCAGTGACTACTTGTTATAGTAATGTCTTAAATGGTGTGATCACACACTAAAAAACTATAGTCATGCAAAATTACAATAGTAAATTTCAGGACCCACAAGTCAGGGAATGGAGTTTTAATGGCTTTTCTAACAATGCTATGTCACCCCAGGGGCGCACACTTAAGACGAACATTTCAAACGTGACTGAACTAGTCCAAGATAATACATCCTGTTAGATAAGGCAGGTTTTTTTTTTCTGAAATATTAATTTTATTTTCTGTTAAAAAGGAATTCTTGAAAGTTGGATTACCTTGTGTTAACCCTTTATATTAGAAACAAATATTTCTACAGATTTCTAGGTGTGTTACTTAAATCCACTCAGTGGCAACACATTAACCGAAAATTTAATTAAGGTCTAAGAAAGGTTGATGAAGATTATTGCAGTTTTTAAAAGTTTAGAGTTTTATAGTTTTAATCACTTCTGTTGCAGGTCACCCTGGGTTGCAAGGCAGTGTTCGGGGATGTGTAGAGACAGCACCACTCCCTTACTCATGGGTCCCCCAACTGGTGTGGGAAGACCTTGGGGATCAGGCCCAGTGTCCACCACTTACTAGTGCTGTGATCTAAGGATGGGGGTGAAACCTCCCTGCGCCTCAGTTTCCTGTCTGTTAAATGGGGATAATTTATATACGGAGAGATTTCAAGGATTAAATCAAGTTAGCCATAGAAAGCGTTCTTTAAATATTAGCTGCTGTTATTGTTATTATGACCTGGAATGTGTCCCAGAACCCAGAAAGAAGAGAAATAAATAAAAATAAAATGAAATTACGGCAGCCAAAGTAGCTTTTGTCAAGCCCAGACACTAAAATTTAGGCCCTTAATTCATAGGAGAAATCACCTCATCTTCAGAGCCCATATAAGCCAACTTTCAGGCATCTATTAGCACATGAGGGGATCTGGTTTTCTAGTTCATGGCCAGTTAAGAGGGGAAATAAGACAGCATGAACCCTGAGCTAACAGCAAGGAGAGAGGAAGAAAAACCCAAACACTAACCTGGAAAAACCTAGCAGCGGACCTTTGCAAGGAGAGTGTTTTCCCCAAACAAGGCTGTGGATCAGAATCACCTGGGAGCTTTGTAAAAATACAGATTCCAGGCATGAGAAGTCAGCCCTTCAGCCTGGCCTTGAGTACAGTGTAGGGCTGTATTACGGCACACCTCCGTACCTCGCCTTCTTAGTTAGGACAGCGATGATCTGAAAGGTCTGTTTAAGAAAACAGGAATTTACACAATAAATTTTACATTTTTTTACTCTGATAGTAAAATTTCAAAAGGCATAAATAAATTACCTTTGATATTCATTGGGGGGCATTTGTATTTAAAGCTCCACATGGATTAATGAACTTGAATTGCCAAATTAAGGTTTATAAAGGGAAAGCATGCATAATAAAAAAACAAACAGTAAGGGTTGGGCAGGAAGTAGAAGAAATTGGTGAATTACAAGCACCAAAATTGAGCAAATCATCGCTATAAACTCCCATAGCTTAAGGCCTTCTGCCTGATAATTTTCAACTTTATTCTGGAATTCAGGCTGATCTTCCTTGAAAATACTTCCTTCTCTGATCATACCTTCATGGTTCTTATAATTGCAGACTTTACAGTTTGCTTTCGGTTCGGCATTCATTCTCCTCATATATTTTTGAACTTGTCCTAATGCTCTTTCATTTTCTCTCTCCCTTTCTAAAAAAGGATCTGTTTATTCATTTGAGAGGCAGCACACAGCAGGGAGGGGCAGAGGGAGAGCGAGAATCTCAAGCAGACTCCCTGCTAAGTGCAGAGCTGACGTGGGGCTCAACTCCAGGACCCCGAGATCCTGACCTGAGCCGAAATCAAGAGTTGGACGCTTAATGGACTGAGCCACCCAGGCGCCCCTCCTTCATTTTCTCTTGTTTTTTATTCTGCTATTACCTCATCTTGCAAAACACATCAGTTTTATTTTCATTTATCTAGTTTTCCGGGTTGGCCTCTAAAAGAAAAAGCTGCCCATCTGAGCATCATTTCGTTCCTTTGTTCATTCATTCAACAAATTAAAAAGCCCCCAAAGCCAAGCACCTGCTCCGTGCGAGGCTCCTCCGCAGTGGGCACTGAGGATTAGAGCCCTACCCTCACGGAGCTCGAATTCTGCCGCACGAGGGAGACACATGAAAGACACACACAAAGGCCTGAGGTAGAGAAATTTGGGGACGAAGGGACACTCATGTCAGAACGGGGGGTTCCAGAAGCCTTTCCTGAGGTGACGCATGCAGACGGAGATAGAAACGAGAAGACAAGTCAGCCACGTGACAAGCTGCGGGGAAGAGCGTTCCTGCTCCTCGAATGATCTCGCGGTCATCGTCCTCGTCTTGAGAACGTGCTTGCATTCTCCCATCCTTAGAAGTCCTCTCAACCCACTCTCCCACCAGCCACTGTCCGGTTTCTCTGTGCTGTTTTGCAGCAGAACTCCGTGAAGAGCTGCCCGTGCTCGTTTGCGGTCTCTCTTCTCCCATTTTCTCATAAGCCCATTCCATTCACTCCCCGGACAGACTCCAGGCCTGCCCGTGTCAAGGTCATCGTTGACCTCACCATTCTGCCGTCATTTTACTAGACCCATGTGCAGCCTCTGACAGAGTCGATTCTCTTCCTTGGTATGCTTTTCCTTTCCTGGCTTCCAGGACTCAGCCCCCTCTTGGTTTTCCTCCTGTCTTGCTGGTCACTCTTTCATACCATAGTCACCTTGGCAGGTAACCTGTGCCTCCTGACCCCTTCATGTAGGAGTCCCCAGGTGCTGCACACTTGAGAAGTGACCCTTCTCGGTGGGGCTTAGCCTGACCTCCCTGCTGAAAATTACGACAGTGCCCTACTGAGACGCTCGTACTTCTTCTCACCTTGTTCTATTTTATTTTCTGATTGCACTAATCATCTCCAAACGCTGTATAATATACTTATTTTTTGTGCATATTACATATTTTATGCCACTGCCCATTGGAAAGAAAACTCCAGAAGTTTCATTCACTGACGTATTCCAAGTATCTAGAGCGGTGCCGAGCAGTCTTGCGTGAACAAACAAATCAGCGTCCCTTTGCAAACCAGCTCCCCTTCCCAACTTCTGCCATTGACTCTGCCACGATCTTTCTTCCCCAGACTGAAATCTTGAAATCATCTTTATTCTTTCAGTCAACCCTTCACTGTACACAGTCCATTCAAAGTCCTTTCCCCTCTGGTCTGTGTTGTGTCTCAAAGTCACATTGCCTTTCCAGCCTCCCAACCTTAACCCTCTTCCAGACCCTCATTACTTCTCCCCTGGAGTATTGTTTCCCCTCGCTCTGCTGTTTCCCCTCTAGTGCATCTTGTCAACCTCTGCCAGATAAATCTTTCTAAAGTACAGCCTTAATCACGACACTCCTTGCCCAGTGAGTAAACTTTTTCACCTGGTATTTAAATAGAGATGCATGAGGAGCCGTGCGAGTGGAATGATGGGGGCCTGGGGCAGGGGAATGGAGTCCTGCTGGAGGAGAATCTGGGGAAAAATATTTTTCAGGAATGTTATTTTTCCCCCTAAATAGGAAAAAAAGTCTGTTCATTTAATTGAAATTTTTGTTTTTTTAAAAGTTCCTGAGCCTTTGGATATTTTTAAGTGTACATCAAACTGTTATGAGCACTCTAAAAAATACATAAAGAATTTTATGGACCTGAACTAACAAAATATATTTAGCTCTGTTAGAAGTGCTTAGTGGAAAACAAACAAACAAAACCCATAAATTTTCCTTTTTACCAAATATATTTTGATCCCCCCAGAAATTTTTTTTTAACTTTCAGCTTGAGCATCATAATATCTGAGTTCTTCACATTTCTATGCATCTTGATTCTATACATCTCAATTGCCTGATTAAAAAATAGGAAAAAGATATGAACAGACACCTCACCAAAGAAGATATACAGATGGCAAATAAGCATATGTAATGATACTCCACATCATCATTGGGGAATTGCAAATGAAAACAACAGTGAGATACACACACCTATTGGAATGGCCAGATCCAAAACACTGACAGCACTAAATGTGGGCAACGGTATGGAGCAGCAGGAACTCCCCTCCATCATTAGTGGGAAGGCAAAACGGTAAAGCCATTTTGGGAGATAACTTGGTGGTTTCTTACAAAACCGAACATACTCTTACCATATGACCCAGCAATCATGCTCCTTGGTGCAAATGAATTAGAAACTTAGGTTAACACAAAACCCTGCGCATGGATATTTATAGAAGCTTTATTCATAGTTGCCAAAATTTAGAAACAAACCAAGATGTACTTTAATAGGTGAATAGATAAACCATGGTACGTCCATATAGTAAAATAGTATTTAGTGATAAAAAGGAATGAGCTATCAAGCCATATAAAGACACAAAGAGGGGCCCCTGGGTGGCTCCGTCGGTTAGGCGGTTGTCTTCCGGCTCAGGTGGTGATCCTGGAGTGCTGGGATTGAGCCCCGTGCTGAGCTTGCTTCTCCCTCTGCTCCTCACCTTGCTTGCTCTCTCTTGCTCTCTCTCCCTCTCTCACACTCTCTCAAATAAATAAATTGGGGCACCTGGGTGGCTCAGTCGTTAAAGCGTCTGCCTTCGGCTCAGGGCATGATCTCAGGGTCCTGGGATCGAGCCCCGCATCGGGCTCCCTGCTCCGCGGGAAGCCTGCCTCTCCCTCTCCCACTGCCCCTGCTTGTGTTCCCTCTCTCGCTGTGTCTCTCTCTGTCAAATAAATAAATAAAATCTTTAAAAAAATTAATTAATTAAAAAAGACACAAAGGAACCTTAAATGCATATTACTAAGTGAAAGAAACTGACCAGAAAAGGCTCCCTGCTGTATGATTCCAATTATCTGACAGTCTGACAAGGAAAATCTGTGGAGATGGCCAAAAGATCCATGACTGCCAGAAGCTGGGGGAAGGCAGGGGTGAATAGGCAGAACAGGGGATATTTAGGGCCGTAAAAATACTCTGCAGGCTACTATAATTGTGGATACATTTCACCGTACATTTGTCCAAACCCACAGAATGTATTACACCAAGAATGAACCATAATGCGGACTACGGACTTTGGTTGTTAGTGATGTGTCACTGTCAGTTGGCTGATTATAACAAATGTACCACTCTGGTGGGGGACGTTAACGGTGGGACAGGGTGTGTGTGTGTGTGTGTGTGTTTGCAGGGAGGTGCTGTGTGAGAACTCTTCATACTTCCCCTCAGTTTTGCTGTGAATCTGAAACTGCTTTAAAATAATGTCTATTCATTTACCAAAAAAATGCTCACGAGTGCCCACTTGCCAGGAATGAAGTAGACAATAATCCCTTCCTAACAGTAATGTATGTCTGTGAGCAAAAATTGGTGAGGCAAAAAATATGCTCAGAATTCTTGGGAAGGACCCATCTACGCTCCTGAACTTGCAGTCGACACCACACTCCTTTACTCCCATTTCAGCCTCTTCCTCCCATCACTATGCCCGGCATGTTGTCCTTCCGTAGAAGTCTTTCACCCCTAAAGTCATAATCCCTCCTCAAATGTTGCCCAGCCATCCTGAGCACTTGACCCATCCACTTGCTCTCATCTAGCAGCTTCTCCTATCGTCATTGCCTCCCCGTCCTACTTAGCCTCCAAGATCCAGCCTTCATCCCTTTGTCTCAGCACCTTCAAGCTCCCTTACTTGTCTCCCTTCACACTCAGTGACAGCACCCCTCTCTGGATGAGCCCAGAGGTCCCTCAAGAGAACACCACCCAGGGAGACTGTGGTCATGACACACCTCAGTCAGACCCTCTGCACGTTAGCTCTCTGGCTGGAGCTCTCCTGGCTCCAGAAACTGGGAAGCAAATTCTGGCTGCAGAGCTTGTATCTGGAAGGGATTTCCTGCTTTAGCCAGGTGTTAATGCACTTCCCCCTCTCCCCCCATCGAAAGGAACCAGTGCAGCTCTTTGTCTGAAACGCATTTCATGTAGCAGACAGAATAGTTAACTGTTTTCCCCCAGGAGGCCCAGTTTAGTGATCACGGAGACTCAGTGGAATTGTATTTCATTTATTTCAATAATAGGAAACTGGGGTTAAAATATGGATTTTGCTTATAAAATACAGGGAGAATGGAAGGAGGGAAGGAGGGAAGGAAGGAAGGAAGGAAAGAAGGAAAAGAAACCTTAAAATTTTGTTACCAAATATAAAGGCATGCTGAAGGCGACTACTCTGCTGTCACTGTGTTCAGGTGTTATCTTTAGACATAGGCTTACCTTTTATCTCCTTTGTTTGCATTTGTTTATTTTACACAGAACAGAAGATGTCAAGGAAAATGTGCTGGCAGTTCTACTCATTGTCCTGGTTTCCCTCCTCGGATTTCTGACATTGAACCAAGGCTTTTGCAAGGACATGTGGGTGCTCCTCTTCTGCCTTGTCATGGCCAGCTGCCAGTATTCCCTGTTAAAGGCAAGACCACCTCTAATTCTTACCATCACTAATGTACCCTTGAAATCATGAGATGATGACACAGAGACCTCTGATTTCTGTTCTAGAGCGTTCAGCCTGACCCCGCCTCGCCAATCCACGTAAGTTTCAAATAACGGGCAAGTAGCTTGTCTTGTCTGCTTGTGTTAAAGATAGAGGAACAAAACCTATTCAAAAGGCAAAATATATATCAATCTACATATGGTGAATATATAAATAGAAATATGAATGCATGGTTGCCAAATTCGGGCTAGATCTGAGAGCGTGGTGTGGGTGGTAGTCGGGGGGCAAGGGGTGGGTAACAGGATGTGGAAGGTCTTTTCTATCCCACTGGCCTCACGTCAGGGCCGACCGTGCAGCCGGGGAGGGGCGGGGGGACGACTGGTCTCTGCAGTCAGACTGCCTGCTTCTGTTTCCTGGTTGCTCCTCTGAATGTTGGACCCTGAGCAGGATATGTGTACTTGCCCTGTCTCTGTTTCTTTGCATGTCAACAAGGATAATGAAAATGCCTCTAGGGATTGAATAAGATGTTGCCGAGTGAGTGGGAGCTATCATTCCTGGTAAAACATCATTGTGTAAGCACTAGTCATTATGCTCTTTACATGAAGCTGATCTCCTCTTCCACCTTTGCAAGAGTATTGTTACTTTTCATCCACATAACTTTGGGCTAACTTAGAGCGGAGCCTCTGGGCTCACCATACTGATCTGTTGGTGCTCCCGCGTCCTATAAGCATGGTTTCCACTGACCCAGCTGCCTTGCCCCTGCGTGGTGCCGGGGGACGGGGTCTGGCACGGTCCCCGCAGGTACCCTGGCTACACGCCTTTGTGCCGAGCCCCTGCCTGGCGCACCTTTCAGCTCTTTGAGGACCTTCTTTCCTTTGTTATGGTGAGCTGTGCCCCCCACCCCCTGCCCTGAAACCCTTCCAGAGAAAGAAAGTTTGATCTTCCCTCCATTGTGCTTTTAAAAAATTCATATCCAGGATTTAGGAATGCTTTTAAATCTGTGATAGCTCATGTTTAGCTCATAGTAATTAAGAAAAGCTTATAATTGGATGATCACATGGCATACATTGCTATCTTGTTAAATTCCTCTGTTCCCCATAATTGGTTTACATATAATACATCTTCTTTTATTCCAGAGTCTGAATGTCAAGATAAGTAGAAGCAGCATAATTAGGGTATTAAGATGTATTGTTGTGATTATCATCAGAAATCTGGGTTAGGTGGTGTGTGCAGAGATGGGGAGCTCTGAAGTCTCTTTGCTCAAGCCCACACTGGATGCCACATCCTCCTCCATCTGCTTCAGGAAATAAAACCTCCTTTCTAGTAATGGCACTTCAGTGTCACTGCTTTCTTGGGTGACTTGGGGGAGGGGTGTTAGATGCTATTAAACATTCATTTCCTGCAGGTACCTTCCGTAATAACGCAGAACATGCTAGGAGAGGTGACAGTGAGGACAATTGTGCAATCCTCGTGGATTTGTCGTGGCTGGTAGCAGCCCCCCCTCTGTCATTGCTCTAAACTGGACTTATAGTGCGTCAACTGGTCTAGCTCCTAGAGGGTCCGGTCAAGCAGCTATCCCTGTATCTGAGCAAGCATGTGCACAGTCAGAGCGTATCTAGAAATGACTTCTCTTAACTGTCGTAATCAGACATGTGTTTATTAATTTGCTCACACAGGTTCCTAGGTAGAGTAGCCCCTGATTTGAATTGCCAGTTTGCTCACAGTTCTAGTGGGAAGAGAAAATATGGGAGCTACACAATGTTTCCTCTTGCCATCTGCCTGAGCCAGGTGGGCATTGAGAAGGCGGATGCAACATCTCCAGATTATAAATGTGAAAACCTCAGAAAGGAGGTGGTCAGGGGAGCAAACCAAGTCTGGGCACAGAGGCGGCTCTCAGGCCCACCGCCAACTCTAGCCCTGGGCATCATGAGACCCCAGGTGCTTTTTGAAACTACGCTGCTTTGGCTGCTTTGTATGTTGCCGGGGAGGGGTTTTTACCAAATTCAGTCAATTCTTGCTCTTAGAGCAATTGGCTGATGTTTCTTCTTTGTTTCCTTCCGGAGCACACAGGTGGCGAATTTTGAGCCAGCCGTTCAAATCAGAAGATAGCAAAAATACAAACACTCTGTATATTTCAGATATAAATGTAGAATTAATGACATGCTAATAGATACGGTACAACAGACCCTGGGCCTGCAGAAATGCATCTGGTTATAAAAGAAAACTTTTATAGGAGAGCTTAAAAAATTGATGGTTTGGGTGGATACTGGCAGCATTTGAGGATAGAGACTCGCCATATAATAATGGATGATGAGGCTTTTCACTGACTTATCCAGATCTCTACACAGGTCCTAACCAACACTGATGATCACCCAGAAAGCAAAGTTCAGTAGGATATCTTTTTTTTTTTTAAAGATTTTATTTATTTATTTGACAGAGAGAGACACAGCGAGAGAGGGAACACAAACAGGGGGAGTGGGAGAGGGAGAAGCAGGCTTGCCGCTGAGCAGGGAGCCTGATGCGGGGCCCAATTCCAGGACCTGGGGATCACAACCTGAGCCGAAGGCAGACGCTTAACGACTGAGCCACCCAGGCGCCCCAGTTCAGTAGGATATCTAAGAGGCAGCAAAAAATGGGCATGTCCTGCACAGAGCCAGACTCAGGTGCCTTTTCCAGCACCTGCAGGATTCTGAGTGGGTCTGGCTGGGGCAGCACCTGGGAATCTCTCCCCTGCCCCCGCCAGGTGATGATCGTGGTGGTGACCTCAGATGCCACGTAAGCAACCCTGGCGTAGTGTGCAGGTTTGGGGATTTGAATCCAGCCTTACCATGTACAAACCCAGAGATCTTGGGCAAGTTATTTCTCTGTATCTCAGGTTTTTCACCTGTAAAAAAGGAAATCATGAAACAGGATTGTAAGGGGATTGAACAAGAAGATACTGTAGTCAGGTGCTCAGCATAGTACCTGGTACTATGGAAGCACTTGACAAATCTTAGCAGTTTTTTGTGGGTAAAATATGGATAATAAGAGCAACCTCAGTTGGATTTGGTGAAGAGTGAATTGGACAGTATATATAATGAGCCCAGCACTGGGCCTAGAATATACTAAGTTTCCTGTTTCCTTGCTCATGTTACAAACTCCAAAGAGCAAGAGCTATAACTTGTTATGTGTTCTATTCAATCAATTCTGGCTACTATACAGTGAAGACATTTGGTACCACTTCCTGTTATTTTAAAAATCACTGGGAATGATTTTTTTTTTTTTAAAGATTTTATTTATTTATTTGAGAAAGAGAGAGCATGAACGGGGCAGAGGAAGAAGCAGACTCCCCACTGAGTGGGGAGCCTGACATAGGGCTCCAACCCAGGACCCCGAGATCATGACCTGAGCTGAAGGCAGATGCTTAACTGACTGAGCCACCCACGTGCCTGGGGAATGATCTTTGTAAATATTTTATTTTAGAACAGTTTTAGATTTATAGAACATTTGGGAAGATAGTACAGAGTGTTCCCATATACCCCACACATTTGTCACAATTAGTGAGCTGATATTGACACATCATTAGTAACTAAAATCCATATTTTACTCAGATTTTCTTAGTTTTAACCTAATGTTCCTTTTCTGTTTGAGGACCTCATCCAGGATACCACATTGCATTTAGTTATCATGACAGCTTCTCAGACTTTCCTTATTTTTTGATGATCTTGACAGTTTTGGGGAGTATTACTGGTCAGGGATTTTGTAGCCCACCCCTCAGCTGGGATTTATCTGATGTCTATCTTATGATTAGACTGGGGTTGTACAACTTTGGAAGCAAGACCGTAGAGGGGAAGGGCCATGTTCATTGTGTCATGTTGAGGGTACATGCTGTCTACGTGACTTACCATTGTCGGCGTTGACCTGGATCCCCTAGTGTGATAAACATGAATGATTTTGAATGACATATAAAAATTTTCTCAATCCTCAGTCCTAGAAATAAGGTCAACTTAGTCTTAGTGGCTCTTGATTGAAAATGAAATTATGTTTATCTCTTCAGTTGGGTATTTACTTTGCTCCAAAAAAAGTGTTCTTTAAAGCCTGAGCCACTCCAAATGCCCTTCTTTGAATTCTTACCTACTGAATTTCTGCCATGAGATGGGGTGGAACTTAGGTCACCACCCTCCCGTCTGTCTTTCACTGCCATGGAGGGAAGTGCTGAGGCAGTGGGCAAATGTGTAAGGTAGGTGGAGGCAGAGCGGATGGCACTCGGCCCCCACTCTGAGGGGTACTGTCTCGGGCACTTCGCTGCCCCCTTGGTTGGACAACATAATTGACACATTTGTCAAAATTCACAGACCTGAAATCTAGGAAGTTGGCCCTGATATACATCATTCTGTGAAATGAAATTGTAAACTATATGAAATTATAAACTGAGCTTACAGAAACTTATTTGCCTGTGCCTTTTCAATTTTTAAAGTAGCTGGTCAGATTTCCACTGTATTTAAATGGAAGTAGCATTTTAACAGTCAGCTGATAGGAATTATTTGGCCTTTTGGTTGCTGCTTATTTCCTATACTGCCTTCTCTGGAATGTTTTGGGTTCTCCTCTACACCCCAGGTGGGAGTCACAGACTATGTACCCGCTCAGGTTTTCCTGGGGCTCTGCCCTCTGTAGGGCAGAGGGTGCCCACCCCCCAGCATTCCTCCTTTTGCTCCACACACAGGGGCAACTGAAGCATATCGTTAAAAACGCTCAGATGACTCTAAACGGACAGCTGAGTTGCTAACGCGAGAGTAAAAAAGAACTTATCAACAGGCACGGAGAGATGAGATCCAAGTAAACGAACCTGCACCATCGCAAGAAACTATGAAACAGCCCATTCCTATGTTAGCGATGGGGGTTCAGCGTCCCTAACACAGTGTCCCAGAGCGGTGCACGGAGCGTGGGGTTATGGTTCTCCCCACTCTCCACGCTCCAGAGCTCTCTTAGGAGAAGTCAACACCCCAAAGCTATTGCTAATGCTTTCCCCCAGACTCTATATTTCCTTCGCAGAATGTGTTTAAAGAATGATTATGAATGAAATTCGGTGAAGTCAGGCTGAGTCCTTGGGCCTGGCAGGCCCCAGTGGCGAATGCTGTCCTCTTCCAGGTTGTTGCTGGGAGCCAGGATGTAGTGGCCAGCACCCAGGGGCCAAATCCTTGCTCGGCCACACTGCTTCCTGCCCGGGAAGCCAGGGGCAGATTTCTTAATTTGGCAAAAAATTAAGGCATAAAATGTATGCCTCAGTTTACTCGTGGCAGAATGAGAATAATAAATACTTCTTAGCGCTGTACCGAGGATTAACCATGTGGGTAGCACGGGGCCTGGGGTGAGATAAATTATAGCTGCCAACAAAAATCCCGGGCCCCTGAACATGGCTGGAGGAGCAGGTGTGCACCTCCACAGGTACAAGGGGGCCCTTTGCTGCCCTGTGGACCGAGGAAGCACAGGACACCCGTGGGCCGAGAGCCTGGAGCTGGTACCTGCGGCCGACTGAGATGGGCTGGTGTTCACAGCCCGGGTTTCCTCACTGCCCAGGCCCAGTGCACTCCAGATTTTCTGAGCCCCCATCTTCTTTAGAATAAACGCCTTTTATTTTTTTCCTTAACAAGTTTGAAGCCTTCGACCCGCCGGATGTCTTGATAAGAGGAGAATTCGAATGGCCTCGTGCCTTGGCCATGTGCACCCCCACTCTCCAGAGGGGGTTCCTGGAGGTGTGGATAGATTCTTTCACCTCACCCTTCTGCTGCACTCCTCCCAGAGCGGGGCCGTGACCTTGTACGTGGGGGCGGGGGGGCTGATGGGGATTCCAGCTGCACATGCAGACAAGCCTCCATGCCCCACAGCTGAAGCTGGGTGCGCTCCCCCGGGGTATTTTAAAGTTGAAATCACACGGGAAATAGTTGGATGAGTTGTAAAAAAAAAAAGGACTGATCAGACTTCACCTGGAGGGGCGAGTGGAATTTTCCTATTGGAAAAAAGAAACATCAGTCCTCAGGGGTCTGATGGTTGATTCATATGTGAAGGAAGGAATTGGGGAGCAGGGGAATGAATATGTTTAGTAGATGTTCTTAGGAATCAAGGAAACTAAAAGTGACATCTATACCACACATTAGTGATACGCTTAGAATGGTTTAGGGACCCAAACATAGAATGGGAAGTGAAGAGAATGGCATGATGATGAGAGCAGGCTCTTTGTCAGGGAGCCAGCCTTAAGTTTTGTCTCATGAATTACAATTACGATGGGAGCGTTCCCCTGCCCGTAAATAAAGTTTGACTTGGCAGATTTAAGATGATATCACAAACTTGTTCAAGACCAGACTTTCAATTCCTAGAAAATGTATTTTTAAACTTTTAGGAAGAGGACAAATCAGGGCAAGTGGGAGGCAGCTCTTTAATTTTATATCCTAAACGGTGTCACTTTGAGGAATGTCTCATATGTTTGTGTATTTGTATATTAAGTAGCTGTCTATACCAACCAAGTTAGTTTGCTTTTCACTTGATAAGAAATGCATTAAGATTTCACTTAGGCTTCAGTTTCAGTTTTTTTTTTTTTAATGCAGACAAAGTATTCCCATACTCACTAATCTATGACCCAGTTGGATTCAAAAGGAAATTTCATAAGAGTGCAAATATTCCTTTCAAGACTGAGTCTGGACTCAGGGCCAAACATAGCCAGTCCCCATGGACAGCCTGTGTTTTCCTTCCTATTAAAAGATGGTCTCAGAATAGGACCATTCTATTACAGAAGCAATGGCAATTTAAATTGCATTTCTAAATATAACATGTTCAAGGCAGTGACTTTAAATATTCACATGTGAACCCATATCACTTTAATCTTTACTTTTTATACCCAAAGTAGTTCATGAATTGCAAAGAATATTCTCCCCCTAATTCATTTTTGTTGGTTTTTTTGAACTTTATGAATTGTGCTTTGGTTTGTGACATATAAATTCTTCATTGGCTTTTGCCCTGGAAAGTTTGATGTTATATCTTTTCCTTAATTTTTCTATCTGTTTAAGGAGAAGAATAAAAATGTTTCTACTTCTCCTCATAACAATATTTTGAGGGCTAAGGTGAGATCTGTTAAGTTTTTGGTCTTCCTCAAAGGAAAATGTATATAAATGGTGAGTTTTTTAAAATTGGATTATTCCCCCTGTGCTACACTAAGATGTTTTATGCAATCTCTGTGGGTATAACTTTGCACCTGTATTATCTTGCTTTTTAAGACAAGGAAATCAAAGCCCACCACTTATAATTCTGTTTCTTATTAATAGCAGGGCTCAAGTTAGACCATGCAACCAGCAAATAATGGTTTATCTTTGTTTTGCCCTTGAAATGAACAATACAAACGGATGTTTCACTATTAGAGACGCTTTGAATTAGATCTAGATTGTATCTGAGGGTGGTAAATCAATTTTCGGCTAAATCTTGTTGAGTCTGAGAGGCATGACATTCTTTTTGATATTCTTGTTCTTAATTGTCAGAATAAGTATCAGAGGTTTTTTTTTTTTTTTCTTTTCCTGGTGTTTTGTATATATGAATTCTAGAGGGGGGGCAGAATGTGATTTATGTTATAAGTTGTGTGATATGATATGATATGATGTGATGTGAATTACTGACTACGAAGCTTTTGTCATTTAATCAAAATAATAGGTGCCATTCAGAAATTGTGTTTGTTTTCTAGGGACACAACCAAATCATAACATATAGCAGACCAGTCTATTTTTGTGTGCTGTGTGGCCTTATTTTGCTTCTTAATACAGGGGCCAAAGCCCGGCACCCTCCCACTTATGTTGTCTATGGCCTGAAGCTCTTCTCTCCAAGGTCCCTCCAGTCAGCTAGGGACCTCTTAATAGGTGAGTGAATTTGGGGGTTGTGGGGAAGAACATAGAGGAGGGTGGATATGTTTCCCCTTTATATTCTGAATCACTAGCGGGAGAAACCTCCTTATGTGATTACTGGATGAAGAGGCATGCATTTCTCTTTTGGCTTGTACACCTTCAGAAGATGGTCTGGGAGCTGGAGCCCCACACCATCCAACAGCAGAATTATTCTAAAGGATTGTGTTATCCATGATCGAGAAGTTGTAACGTTGTAGTATCTGAAGACTGGTCGCTATGGTGCCTGGTACGGGGTGTCAGGGAGGCTCCCCAGGGTGGAGGTGGTTTTGCCACCAGGGTGGCAGCCACGGTCCCACCCACGTGGCACAGACACTCTGGCAATGCCCAAGGGTGCATGGTTCTCAGCCCAGGTGGAGTCCTAGCCTGTCACCGGTCCACTTGGCGCACCTTAAGGTCTAGGCGGTGTTTCATGTAAAATGCTCTGTTTACACAGGTAACCTGCCCTGGGTCATGGTTCGGCACCTAGCTTTTTGAATTCCAGCTCTACCACTTTGCTAGTTGTGTGACCTTGACAAAAAACTCAACAGTAATGTGGGGACAAAAATAGTACCCACCTCAGAGGTTGGTGCAAGTGAGTTAGTACATTTAAACCTATGAACCAGTGCTGGGCACCAGGTATTAGCTATTATTATTATTATTATTATTATTATTATTATTATTATTATGTGGCAGTGCTGCCCCAGTGTTGCCTGCAGCTCTGAAGACGTGACTGCTCTGAGAATCCTGGTCATGACAACCCACGGTTGACACGCATGCCAACCTGTGATTGGCTGTGATCACGTTGCCCAGATGAGTTGATAAAAGGCACCAGCCGCTGGATCTACTGCTTGCCAGTTGGATATCTTACTCGAGAGGAGCTTTTCAAAGCCATAGGTCCCATATCATTCTTTCTCTGGCCCCCATGACCACTTCCTGAGCCTCTCCAGTGGGACTGAGAAGGGCCCCCAGATATGGCGTATCTTTGTGTTCCTTGTAGGAGAAAACCGTGGTATACATGCCACCCTCTGACTCTCCTTCCCAACCACTATCTCCCCATTCCTCTTCCTACTGCATTGGCAGCAAACTGTTCACTCCCCCCAGATGCGGCCCCCCACAAGCCAACCTTTGTCTGTATCCTCAATATCTCTCTTCCTATTACATCATGTGAGGGGCCGAGTAGCTTCTTAATAGTGAAGGGTCAGGCACCATGTTTAGAGAATCTCTGAGCTCAAATAGGAAACAGAAACATATTGAGGGGAAAGAAAAGAACTGATCCTATGATTAGATTCCCAGGCAGTGCTTCTTGCCCAAGAATATTTGCTTCTACCCTTTCTGATATTTTTCACTTTACTTTTTTATATTACTTGAAGTTCCATCAGTTGGAACACACACACACACACACCCATGCACACACACACCCCAAGAAAGACTTTCAGGTACTTTTACCTTCTTATAAAGAGCTCATCCATCTCCCTCCTGAGATTAGCTTCAAGGAAAGAGAGTTTGAGGAGACACAGATCCCCAGGCACGGTTGTGCATGCTGGAGACCATCCTTTCCTGCTGTCCTCTTGCAGATAGTAGTGCTGGAGTCCAGAGCTCAAGGGCCCACGAAGGCCTGGGGATTAGCAGTGGAGAGGGCAGGAAAGCATTTTGGAAGGTGTTCAAGAAACATGTGTCCATGTCAAAATGTTGCCTTTGCTCTCTGCAGTGCACGCTCAATCTTGGGTACCCCATGACCATCTTTTCCCAGCTTCTCAAGCATGGGTTAGTGTTCCTAGACCTGGAGCCCTGACTACCTTGGCGCCTCCTCATCTCATCCTCATGTCTCATGTTCCTGTTCTGTGGCGCCCCTGAGCCCTTTGACCAAGCTAGTTGATGGCCCATTTCCGCTAAGCTTGGCCCATCTTCTGTCCCCCCATAACCCATACTTTCCATAGCGCCAGACCCATCTCATAGTGGTCTGCTTCACTTGTGATTATTTGACTAATGTCTGTGCCCTCGCTAGCCTGTGTCCTGCTGGGTAAGTGCAAGGCAGAGCCCAAGCCTCCTTTCTTCTGCTGAATCCCTGGCACCCTGCGCTGTGTCTGGTAAATACAGGCACTGAAGAAATGTTTGTTGAGTGAATGAACTGATGAACACAAGTGTGCTTTAAGTATTAAGGGAATTAATGTATGGGTGAACTTTTGGAATACTCATTCATAGGTCAGGGAAAGCTCACCATCATTCTCGGGCTGTTCACCTCGGCCCTTACAGTAAGTAGGGATCTAATACGCACCTCTTGATGATTTGGAGAACAAGGAAGAAAAGCATGACATACATTCCATTTAGAAATTGTTTTTCTGTACACGGTGTCTTTCATTTCTCTTTTTCTTTAATTTGCTACTATAAATGAGCCAATGCCACTGCATACATATAGCTGTCTTGGCATAGCAGATTTGCCGTGGCATCAGAAGGTGAAATGTTACTAGGGCTCAAAAAATAAGACCTTAATGTACTTGGTAAAAGCCCGAGGTCTTGCTTTTAGCAGAAACCCTTGTTCTAAAATAAGCTACTGGCTGTGTGTATTCTCATTTTATTTTTCTTCGAACCAATTCCATGGAGGAGTGGACATGGGGCGGGGAAGATGGCCTTCCTTATCTTTCTATCTGGAATTTCCTTTTCCCCATTAAAGCTTTTCTTTAAGAGATATTTTTGTCTGCTTGTCAAAAGTAACAAGTAAAAATAGCGATAAATAATCTAGCAAGCCAACTAAATGATTTCTGGGATAAAGAAAAATGGAAAAAGAGAACAATAGCAATCCCCATGGAGTGAATGTGTTAAACATACTAAAAGATTGTGGAACGAATTTAGAACAATTGGGAATGGGAGGAAGGTGATAGAGGTGTATAGTGATTTTCTGACTTGATGAGGGAAAAGCAAGGGCAACTCAAAGTCATTCATTCTTCTTTGTGGAGCCTTTCCACCTTCTGTCCCTCACTACCAAGGGACCTGAATGTATATAGCTGCTGCCATGGTTAGGTTCAGAAACTAACGAGAGAAGAAAAAATGAGGAGAGAACAGAAGGGTATTGGGATGAAGAAGTAGTGTAGGTTTCCTATAGCTGCCATAACAAAGTACTGCTACTAATGGGTGGCTGAGAACATTGGAGATTTATTGTCTCATAGTTCTGGAGGCCAGGAGTTTAAAATCTCTGAAGACACAAGGGAAGGACTTGTCCCGGCCTCGCTCCTTGGCTCGTAGATGGCCTTGTCCCTGTGTCTGTCCACATCATCTTCCCTCTGTGTGTGTGTGTCTGGCTCTGTGTCCAAATTCCCCCTTTTTATAAGGACATCAGGCATATTAGATCAAGGCCTACCCTAATGACCTCATTGTAACTTGATCATGAGCCAAGACCCTATTGCCTAGTGAGGTCACGTTTACAGGTACTGTTTTGGAGGGACACGATTCAATCCTTTTAACAAGGAGCATTTAAGAAAAAGGACAAGAGAGAAGCAGGAACTAAGCACACGTGACCTTGTTTCCCATCGTGTGGTCAAAGGTGCTACGTGCCTCTCAAGCTGTGATCCTCCTCTGGCTGGTGCTGGGGGGTGTGAAATGTTTCTTAAAGTTGTGCCTTACTGCTGACATTTCTGGTACCTCTTGCCACTCCTGCTTTCCGCGCAACACCATCAACCTGAAGTGGATCGGAGGGAGACGAGGCAGCAGAGGAAGGGGGCAGGAAAGGAGCAGGGAGTATCCGTGGGTGCTGCTTTGGGGCTGAGCTGACCCTGCCCCCTCTGCCTGCCAGGGCAGAAGGGGCCGAGTGTGAGCCAGTGGTGGGAGATGATCCAGGTGGAAATCGGGTGGATGGGAAAGGTGGAGAAGCTCCTCGTCCTATTTAAGGCGAGGAGAGGAGCATCTCAAAGGCGAGCATTTCAGTCAGATAATAGAACAACGGAAGAAGGTGGGATGTATGCTGACAGGAGGTGGGGAACTTGGGGGCCAAACTTGGGGACATAAAGTCAGTGGCAGGGACTTGTTGATTTTATAGGGGGGGGGCGGGGAGGGGAATTAAAGACATAGAAACACTGAGGGTAATATTCTTACATAATTTTTCCTTCTAAGACCCCTCCTATATAATCAAAATACTCCTGGGGGCACTTCTTTTTCATTAAAAGGCAAAAAATTTTGTCTTTATTTCCGGGAGTAAGGGGAAGAGACCTCTGAGTCAGTCCTCCTTAGCTTGCTCAGTCAGAGATGGTGACCTCTGGGCTGGAATTTTTATTTATTTATTTATTTTTATTTTTATTATGTTATGTTAGTCACCATACAGTACATCATTTGTTTTTGATGTAGTGTTCCATAGTTTTGTATAACACCCAGTGCTGCATGCAATACATGCCCTCCTTAATATCCATCACTGGGCTAGCCCATCCCCCCACCCCCCTCCCCTCTAGAACCCTCAGTTTGTTTCTCAGAGTCCATAGTCTCTCATGGTTCATCTCTTCCTCTGATTCTGCACCTCTTCATTTTTCCCTTCCTTCTCCTAATGTCCTCCATGATATTCCTTATGTTCTACAAATAAGTGAAACCATATGATAATTGACTTTCTCTGCTTGACTTATTTCACTTAGCATAATCTCCTCAAGTCCCATCCCTGTTGATGTAACAGTTGGGTATTCATCCTTTCTGATGGCTGAGTCACATTCCATTGTATATATGGACCACATCTTCTTTATCCATTCATCTGTTGAAGGGCATCTCAACTCTTTCCACAGTTTGGCTATTGCGGACATTGCTGCTATGAACAACATTGGGGTGCATATGGCCCTTCTTTTCACTACATCTGTGTCTTTGGGGTAAATACCCAGGAGTGCAATTGCTGGGTCATAGGGTAGCTCTATTTTTAATTTTCTGAGACACCTCCACACTGTTTTCCAAAGTGGCTGTACCAACTTGCATTCCCACCAGCAGTGTAAGAGGGTTCCCCTTTCTCCACATCTTCTCCAACTCTGTTGTTTCTTGCCTTGTCAATTTTTGCCATTCTGACTGGTGTAAGATGGTATCTCAATGTGGTTTTTGATTTGAACTTCCCTGATGGCTAATGATGACGAACATTTTTCCATTTGTATGGCTGGAATTTTTAATACTTTCCACCAGCGTCACTTCAGTGAAAGTCTACAAAAGGGGGCCGGCTTTGTAATTATCCCACAGATGAGGAAGCCAAGAGGTCTTCAATTCTTAGTGTCGTATTTCAAAAGGAGCATGAGCAAAGCTGGAGTGTGCCCTGAGGAACATAGCCACTGGGGCTGCACTGCGACTGGAGTTGGAGCAAAAGACTGGGATGTCCACGCTGTGGCCGTTCTCTGTCGTAGCGGTAATAACTAGTCCCGGCCCATGGCAGGTGCATTCTGGCTCACTGCAAGATAGGCCTGTAAAATGGTTTGGGTTAGAGATGTCCAGTGGTAGCATGGGCTTTGCCTAGTGAAGCACGGAGGTCCTGACTTGGAAGGGCTCAGGCAGGAGGAGGTGGTTGGCTTTCCAGTGTAGAAGGCACTGCATGGGTCCTTCTCAGATCCGAGACTTTTTATGTTTTATGTTTGTGCTTAGGACCGTTATTTCACATCCATACTTTTCCCTGGAGTTCTTTCTTCTTGGTGTCATTTTTGCCACATGCACGCAGCCCTTGAGAAGGTGAACCAATGCAACCTCATAGCGCCTTCCGTGCACCCCTACCCTGGCCATGAGTACTCCACAGTATAGTGCAGCATGTCATCTTTCCTGCTGGGTCTGAGTCTCAAAGTTGAGAGAAGTACTAGTCAGTCTGCTTGAAATTATATGGGAATAAAATTCTGATGCTCCTGTGTTCTCTAATTAAATTTCTATTTATTTCTTTTTATAAAAGATTTATTTATTTATTTTAGGGAAAGAGAGAGAGCCGGGGGGTAGGGGCAGAGGGAGAGAAGGAGAGAGAATCCAAAGCAGACTCCTTGCTGAGTGCAGAGCCCCACGTGGGGCTCAATCCCAGGATCATGAGATCATGACCTGAGCCGAAACCAAGAGTTGGCCGCCCAACCCACTGAGCCACCCAGGTGCTCCAAATTTCTGTTTATTTCTTATATCTTTCCCCTATCTCTGATTTCCATTCACAAAACCTGAAAAAAAGAAATTGTGTCCTATTATGTCCAGCAGATCAGTATTTGTATCTTATTGCCTACTTTGATTGAAAAGTGGATTCCTCACAGATGCTCTAGGTTATTACAATATCGTTGAAATCTTGCCACAGAAAACCTTACAGCAAAATCACCATGTGTATCAAAATATGGCTCCAACCCCAAGAGAGTTGGAACAGTTCCTTCGTATTATTGTGGAAGGGTTTGTCCCATACTTACTTTCAAGCGACTGTTAGCAGGAGCATGGGATGTATGAAGACTCTCATTTCTATAATTTCATGGGGAAAAGTTTGCATTTCTGATTTTTCAGAAATAGCTGAACCCCTTCCCCCCCCCCCATCATCCCCACTCCCACTGTCGACTGTGGTCTATGTACAGTGTTAGCACACGGTTCAAAGTTCAGGCATATGGGATTTCAAATCAAATTTCCTTAGTTTTATTAGGGCTTGCCAGGATCAAACTTCATTGACATTCTCCTCAATAAACTGAGACAGAAGACAGATACAGCAGAAGGAATGGCAGTTTTCTGGGTTTCTATGAAATCCAACTTACATAGACTTGAGGGAGAGACAGAGCTGTAAAATGCAGCTCTAGCACGTCCAATTTCCTCTAACAAATGATCTCTGAAATGTGGAATCCTGGTGTGTGGATGTCTTATTGAGTTGCACTGTTCCAGATTTTGGGAGGGGGCACAGTCTTCCTCTGGTCAGGCAGGGTTGCCTTCATGTCCCAGATGCTCCAGTCCCAGGAAGTCAGGCCCTTCATTGTCCCACTGTCACTGTGTGTGGTTTCTTAATCACCACCCTCCCCTGTTCACCTGCAAACCTGGAGTTCCCACTGAACTTGAATTTGCAGGTGGCGTTCAGGTGTGGCGACTCTCAGCACCTCAAGTGCTCCTGGTGACAGCAGCACAAAATGAGGAGCCCCTGGCTCCCATTTTTACACCCCCCACCTCCGTGCAGGGAGAGATCTGCATACCTATTGCCTTTAGCTTTACCTATTCCTGGACTTTCCCAGTTTCTTTCCCCCACCCTCATGCCCCTCAAGGGCAAGCCTACTCTTGCACACTGCGGACTGGTCCACTGTCTCCTTCACCATCCTAGGTCTCTGCTCGGTCCTGGGCTCACCTGTGTTCTTTGCTCGGGCCTCTTCCTCAGACGCAGCCCCTTGTTACTTCCAAGGGCACATTTCCACTTGGCCTGCAGACCTTCCTCCTGTGGGTGCGAGGAGTCCAGTATTGCCTCCAGGATGCGGGCAGGGGGGTGGCTGAGAGCTGGAAGGGGAGCAGGCAGGATTGCCTCGGGGACCTGGGGACCAGCGGCCACACACTTACTGTCCATTTTGTCTGTTCATTTCCAGTATTTTTATATTGCTTCCCTGCAATCTCCCTCCTTGGGCTCTTCCCGCAGATCAACACTTTCTGCATTTATTTTTTGGAACAAATTGACATGCTGTTTTTTGGAGGTTCTGGTAAGTCGTCTACATCCTACTCTTCCTGTAAAGGAGCCTAAAGTTTTGATAAGGACTGAATGGAATGAGAGCCTGGACAGCTCGGTTTCCTTGTCCTGAACACTATTTCTTGTGTGCACCTGGACAGACAGGGATCCCCCCTGTGTGGACCCTCCCTTGACATAGCACCTTAGATTCCCACCATAGTGGCTAAAACCTCACCTTATCCTTACCTGGAGACTTTGTGCAGATCGCTTAACTCTAAAGTTTACTCTTCTCTAAATGGAAATAAACACGTGTATCTCACAGAGTCGCTGTAAGAATGAAATGAAATTGTACATAAAGCGCCACAGCATAGGTGGTGATCCAGTACTGTTCCTGCCTCATCACACACTCACTCGCATACACACTCACACACACAAACACACAGTCACAGACACACACACACACACACACACACACACACACACACACACACACACA